AATTTGCAACTTAAGTGTGTGTGTAAGCTTGTTCTAAATTATGCCGCACCTAAGTTATTTATCAAAGTTAAATTAAGCTTCAAAGATGCTGCTTAAATTTGATATTATAAAATTACTGGAGCTTTTTTGGAAGTATTGAATTGAATTATCTCCTTGATGGGTTACTTGGGTATTTTTGTGAAGAAAAAAGAATCAAAAAAACTTCTTTTAACCACCCCCCCCCCAAAAAAATTCTTTATATATTGAATTTAGATGTCAAAAAGGATGTTTTTCATGAAGTTCTTTACATAACACAAAGAGTACAATGAATTGGTTTATATTGTAACCAAAGAATCTGCTTTATTTGTTAATATAAAACTACAAGTAGCATAAAATGACTCAGAAGCCATTTTATGTTTCCATAAATCCAAAGAGGGCTTATCATAGCTGCAGAAAGAATTAAACACAATATTCTTACTATTTAGTTACTCAATTTGTGTACAAGAGCACCATCTCAGCAGGTGTAGTAAGTTAAATACTGATTATCACCTAGCCTGGACTATACCTTATAAAATACTTTTACTGTTGAACAAAGTTAGTTGTCCAAAGTTCAGTGTCACAAAACAAAAATACTACAATAGTAATTAGATAATGTTTCAAATCAATTTTAATGTCTAAAATATTTAAAAAACAACATTTCAACTACATTGTATTGAAGATGTTTAAAGACACAAAAAAGCTTTCTTTGATTGCCTCTATCTACCACATCACTTTCCATTCTTCATACTAAAAATGCCATAAGTGTGTTCATGTTTCTTGTATTCATTAATTGTCTTATGTATCTTTATTGTTTTTACAGAATGGTGACCATGGTGAAGTAAAAATCAAGCCTGCAAAATAAAACACTGAGACCACCTGAGGTTAGCTAAATCTGTAATGCACATTTAGTGATTATGGTTTTTAACTGAAGATATTAATATACTTTGAAAATTAACTCACCCAAAAACATGAAACATCTATACTTAACTTACTTGCAATGTTCTTGTTTTTTTATATATATTTCTGTTAACAAGGCTCTTACTAATAAACTACAATCCATTTAAAACCAATGCTAAAATATTTCATCTACATCAATCTATATACTTTTCTATCAAATAATAGCATAATTTTCAGTTTAAAGTAATATAGTTTTTAAAACTTTACTGTTTTCAGAGCACTTTTTTTTAAATATCGAAATACACAAACTATTCATGCTCAAATCTATTAAACTAAGGCACATCAACAATGGTGTAAAGCATGAACTAAACATTACTTTAATACAAAAGACCCAACACATTTTGGCAGCCCAAGATTGCCTTCTTCGGACGAAAATTTGTTCTTGAACATAAACTGTTACATTCCCTTGCATACTGTCATATATGTCAGTTTAAAGTTTTTGCTTGTCTGGTTAATTTTGTGCAATGTTACTCAAGGGCTATCTTCATTAACTATTTCTAATTTGGCAGTGGTAGACTAGATAGAAAGCAGCTAGCTAACACCACCCACTGCTAACTCTTGGGCTACTCTTTTTAAGTAATAAATAGTGGGATTGATTGTCATACTTTAATGTCCCCAAAAGCTGAAAGTGTGACCATATTTGGCAACAGGTTTTGACACATTCTACAGGCACTATTTTCTATTATTCAATAACAAAAGTTCTATCAATTTTCTCATGACACTTAAAAATGTTTAAAATGTGAAAGTATTTTCTATTAAAGTTGGAGAAGAATGTTCAAAGTACAAACAATTAAATGCCACTGAAAAAGGCAACCAGGGGCTGCCAAAACATGTCAGGTCCTTTATATTAAAAATAGTGTTTTAACTCGCACCATACAACTTTGTTTTCGTGCATTATTCCGATAATTGTTTTTGCTAAGTAAGAACCGTAACATGTACAATACTATAAACTCCTGCCTATTCTCACTATACTTGGATCAACATTTAGAAACTCGTATAATATAGGTCAGTGTATACACATGCAAAACTGTTATAACAATTAAATACATTCACACCTAATGTAGAAAAGTCAAGTCACTTTATACTTCTGTTGAAAACGGTAGTTGTTTCCCATGAGTTCAGTTTACTTGCTATGTGTTCACTAATAAAGATGGTAGTCTTACTAATTTTCCTACAATTAAAACATACAAGGGGTATTCCAAAAACCAGAAATGTGTCACAACCTTATAGTACAAAATATACGATATTTTATGTTAAGTTTTATCACTTTGCTCTTTCTATAACTGGCAGGAAGAGGAAAAACATCAATTTTTTACACTATACCTCAGAAGTTTGATTGTTGTGAGAAGCCAATAATATTTAAATCTACACGCAGACTCAAAATTACATACTTAGGCTTCAGTAAGGAATGCTTACAAGTTAATATTGACATAAAACACTTCTTGGTACAGGTGGCTACAGGAAACAACTATATTTAAATTTAAAGAAGGTATCTGAATAGTAACAAAGTGTATGCTAGGTGAACACCTCTCCAAGTTTTAGGAATGTTCCATTTAAGATTGTTTGACAACCCATTTTCAGTTCTTTCTTTACTCTTCCTTATCCACATAACCTACAAATCACATACTTCCTAGTAATTTTTTGTTGTTTTTTTCGTATTGTAATACTCAGGTGGTAGTCCTGCGGCAACCAGACCAGTTAGATGCTTCATTAAACATGGCTGTCATTAGTGGGGGATTCATCTTGGAGAGACAGGGTGATGTCGTCTACACCACCAGAGGAAGTCAAAGATCCTCGTTTAGTTCCTAGGTAGCGAGAAGTTGGTAGAGATGAGGAACTTCCTCCAGAGGCACCCGCTCCTCGCCTGAAATGTAAGAGTTTATGTCACTTGAGAAAAATTATTTTTTCTGTATCTGCATATGTAAACTCTTGAACACAGTTCTTCCAGCTGCCTAACCAACACAAAAAAAACCTATCAAAACGAAGTAACTGTTACAGATTAAGAACTTTTTTTTAAAAAGCAAGATAATACAAAGAAGGATCATGTACTAACATAAAATCTATCATGCATACACATCTAGAAACAAACTCATTCAGTTGCTCATCCCGTGCTTGCAAGGGGTTAACCCTTCTGTGAGTTGCCAGAGATAACTTGAGTGACCTCCACGTTTTAAAAAGTATTTGCCTCAGTTAAAAGATTTATCTTATTTTTAATTACCTGCCCAAATTTACTTGCATATTATCAATGAAAATGCTGTTTGTACTGATTTTTATCAGATTTATTCTGAATTACATATCAAACACTGAAGAAAAGCATTCCTGTTCTTTACTGTAGTTTCTTTGAAATAATATATATGATGTATAAATCCAGATATGTAGCATTTACTTATTGAGTACATTTTTTGAAGAAATATAATAACAGATCATAAAAGAACTTTAATATACAAGTATAGGTTATCAAGAAGCTAAAAAAAAAACTGACATGAAATGGGTTAAATAGAAAATTTCAAAGAATATTGTTTTAGCTACACAATTATCAAATTGGTTTACAGTAGCTTTACAAATTTATTTGTCATATTTATTAAACCTAAGTAACTGGTCTTAAGAAAGATTTATTCTGTGATTTAAAATTAATCAGCTATACCTTAACTTGTTCTTCAAGTTTAATATTTCTCGAGACATTGCTTCATTAGCTTCCATTATGTCTTCCACCTCACGCTGAGCTTTACGACGCTGGGCTTTTTCCCGAGAACATTCCTCTTCAGCTTCATCCAGCTGACGTTTAAGAGCCTTAACCCGACTGTTCACTTTGTCCACCTAAAGGTTACAATACAAAACAACACACTTAATACAGCTTATCCACAGAATGAAGCTTATTAAATCAGAAAGTAATGTAAAATATGATATCTGATACCATTTATATCCAGGTTCAAAGATGAGGCTGTTTAACTAATCTAATAATATTGGTTTTTCATACACACAGAGATTCACATACAATATACGATAAATAAAATGCAAGATAAAATTGATCACTATGTGTCACTTCAACCTTTTACATATTTAGTTCAAATCCATTAGTTTTAGAAAAGGATAGTTCACAAAACGTAACTCAATATTCATAATAATAATAATGAACACAAACCCATGCTTACCAAAATGTATGAATTGGTCCTAAAGGGTTAACATAAATTTGTCACTATTTGATATTATTTCTTATATTATTCAAAAAAGTTTAGTCAAGGATATTTACACTATTATTTGTCATGGTCACTGTTGACCTATAAATGCTAAACCTGATAACTTGATTTCTGGATGGCACTTAACACTTCCAATAACCTTACTGAAAGAGTATCTTTAAAAAAAATTGCCCAAAGAAATATACGTAAACACAAATTAAAAGAAAGGCCTTCAACAACTTTGTTGGACAAAACATACTGAATGATAATTTGACCCTCTCATTCAAGGGAGACAAGCTTATTCTCATGCAATTTAATAATGATAATAAAACAAGGATTATTTTTCCAATAACATAATGTGGCTCATAAGTACTTGATTAAATTTTACATTACACTTCCAGGAAAGAGTTCCATTTAGACCAACATTTGTTCATCCAGTTACTGTTACATACACACACACACACACATACATACATACATACACAAATATAGTTTATGAGGTTCAAAACATCCAACTAGTGTCAATGTTTATTTTTCTTCCTGAGAACTCACACTTTAGAACCACAAAAAGGACTATCTTAATACTAACAAAGTATTATCTCAAAAGAAAACTTACTTGTTCTTTATACTGGTCAGCATGACGTCGCTCATCTTCAAGTTGCATTACCACTTCTTTCATCTTCTTCTCCATTTTACGACAGGACTTTGCTGCAGCTTGTCTCTCCCTACCAACAAACATATCCTATATTATTTATGAAAATAACTGGATTTTGTTTAATATACCTTCTTAGATATATCAAAAGTGAAAATAATGTAGACTTTCGTTGACAGATGCATTTTGTTCTATTAAGATGTAATAACCATCGACAGCTTCCATCTCATATTGGCATTAAATAATGACACTGATTAAATGTAGCAGAAATAAACTTGACAGGTCACAAGTCTTAAAAAATAATAATAATTTTGCTATATTCTATGTGTATTAAGTTCTTATAGCTATTGAAAATGTAACATGGATATCATACAACCTAATGTCACCCGTTAGCTCAGGTTGCCACTCAAGTTTTGGTTGTGCACTCTCTATTTCAAACCTTCCAAATTATTTGGATGTATAATTAACACCAAATATCTTATGCATTCATAAAAGAAAAGGTATAATGGTGTTAGATCAGGAGAGCCTACAGAATCTCCATACAGCGGGGACATTTACACATTTTAGTAAAGTTAATGTCCTCTCCACCAATTATTATAGAAAAAAATAAGCATGATAGTTAGTGAAAACAAGCATGAATTAAAAATAGTATGATGGTGCAGGAATTTTGAATCAACCTGTATAATACCTAAATGATAATATATTATTAAATAATAAATAAACGTTGGTGGGCAAATAGCTGAGTACTCAAATCTAACAAGTATCATACAACTTCTACATGAATTATAAATTCACAATATGAATGCTAATCCTAGTTCTATAGATAGAAATAGAGATCTGCAAGGTCTCACTTTGTTTCCAGTTCTAACTGTTCTTCAAGCTGACCAACTTTTGACTCAAGAGCAGAAATAGCAGACTTTGTCTTGCCACGTTGACTGGTTTCCAGTTCTTGAAGTTTGGCTCGCAATTCTTTGTTCTAAAAAATAATAATGATAATAAAATACAATTCATATGATAAGAAGACGAATTGCACCTTTACAAAATACATTTATTTGTAGGGAATACAACATTTTAAAAAATGTTGTGAGTGTTCTAAAGTTTTGTTGTTTTTCATTTCAAACATAACCATACTAGTTTTAAACAATGAGGTAAAGTCAAGGATTTTCAGAAATACTGATATTACCAGCAGCTGACTTTGAGGGGCAGAATTATTTTTACAATATAAATGCTACAAAATTGTGTATTGAACTTAACACTATAAACTTTATAAATAATAACTATTCATAAAAGTCTTACAAATATTTTGTTTTCTTGATCTGGACACTTCTTAACTTTTATCACAACATTCATTCAGTCTAAAACTAATTCCATTATAGCATTGTTGTGTTTATTCTTTTAATTAATTATTTTTACCTTTATTCTTTAAAATCAAGAGGAAATACATTTTTTATTTTTTAAACGAGTTAGATAATGCACATCAATGATTTTGAAACTCTGCACCTTAGTGAAATGGGTTAATTTAATTCATAAAAAAAGATGTTTGAAGAAAGTTTCATAAACAAAGCCTCTATATCCTTTACTAGCAGTATTAGCCTAATGACTAAATCCATTCAGAAAAACTTAGATAGGTTAGCCTAGCAACTGAAATTATTTACTGCAATATGATATTTTGAAACAGTACCATTAACTCAGCAATTGCTACATTTGCAATAATATAAAACCACGAGGCACATGTTTGATAATAGTGGTATGCATCAGCTCTGTGCTTTAGGTGTTTTTGTACTAGACTTACTGCATAATCACAATCTCCCTTACATGGACAGGGTGAGTATTAGTAATTCAGCACATCCTCTATTTTTATTTCAATGTGTTTGCTACTAATACAACTGCTTCCATTACAATTTTGTTTTTGCTACTAATCTTACTGTCTCCATTACTACAGTGTTTGCTACTAATCTTACTGTCTCCATAACAACTTCGTTTTTGCTATTATTACTACTGTCTCCATTACAAAAGTATTTGCTACTTATCTTACTGTCTCCATTACAACAGTATTTGTTACTAATTTTACTGTCTCCATTACAACAGTATTTGCTACTTATCTTACTGTCTCCATTACAACAGTATTTGCCACTAATCTTACTGTCTTCATTACTAGTGTTTGCTACTAATGTTACTGTCTCCATAAAAACTTCGTTTTTGCTATTATTACTACCGTTTTCATTATACAGCATTTGTTACTAATGTTACTGTCTCCATTACAACATGGAGTTGCTACTGATGCTACTGTTTCCATTACAATAAGGTGCTACTATTAACTCTGTTAGCCTAGATTTATTTCTACTGTAAAATACTTTGTCTGATACTAACTACTAACTTAGTCATTGCTTCTATTTCAATAATACAGCAGTTGCTACCAGTTCTGAATAATCAAGCCTAAATCTGTTTTATCTTACTATGACATACAGTTCTGTTTTTTATAACAGCCTTAACACTGTACAATGTACATGCTTTATCCAGAATGTCTTACCTGTCTTTCTAGTAACATTCTGTTGTTTTCCAATTTCTGAGAAGAAGACCGTTCACTTGCTAGGTCTGTAGTTAGCTGCTCAATCTAGAAGATTTGAAGTTAAATAATACATATATAAGAATCTGTGAAATTAATATACAGTAAACAGTTATTTTTAACATTATTTCAACTAAATAAGCTCTTTCACATATAACATTTTCAGAGCAAAGAAAACATTTATGCAGCAAATGTTTTTTTGCTACAACATTCACAAACAATATCCAATTGTTTCTATTTAGTCCTATTCATTAGATAAATTGAAGCACTGGCTTTCAGTACTTAGCCTTACCTACAAGCTTATGAGAAAACAAGTACTCATCTTTTGAGACAAAATTAATTTCTTTTATAAAAAAAAAAGTAACACAGAAAAATTATACCTTAAGTGATCATTAAAAACTTTGTAACAAGTTTTGATCCATTCTACATACAGGGGGATCTGAACTGAGTAGCAGCTACAAAATCGACCACGTATCAAGACATAAAGGTCAAGAACTTATTTAAACATTTTTTTCAAACATCTGACTAAAAATTTTTTGTGTTTAATTTAATTTTTATATGCAAAATATAATAAACTGGCAGCAATTTGCAGAGAAACTTTACCACAGACTACTGCAAAATACAAACTTACAGAGTACTATGGTTTTAAAGGATTAGAAATTCAGATGTCACATTAAATACAGTGTACCAATAAAGGCATATTTTTGTCATAACTCTTCTCAGGTATATTTCCTTTATAATTTTAAAGATCATTATAACAATTGTATTCTAGTTCCCATATAATTCCTCATATTCTGAAGTTTATGGAAAATGCTAGTTTTGTGCAACTTTGTAAGGCCTACAAACTCGATATTTAAAGAGAACTTGAACTCTCACCTTCATTTATCAAAATCTATACATATTTCGTCTCTAAATGTTGCACAAGTCCTACAAATCACTTTGAAAAGTTCAGTCTAAAACTTATTATGTATTGTAATAACACACAATATTTTAATATTTATTAGTTTAGAATTATTGAAAGCTTATAACCTGATTTTTGCATGGCTTTCAAACACAAAAATTTCAATAAGCTATCCATTGGGCTCTGTTATACAAGGTTATGTAGATCAGGATTTTGTGATATTGTGTCCTCAGAGTTCATTAATCAAACCAAAGTCTGGAGCTTGCAGTCTTGAGATTCAAAAACAATAATAACATGGATTGAGCCATATATATTATATGGTTCCCTAGTTTGGACCTTGTAAGCTTAAAATATTTTGTAGTTTTATGATTTAGATACATTAAAATAGATACCTGGGTCTGGGCTTTACGGGCTTTCTCCATCATGATCTCAGAGTTACTCTGTTCTTCTTCTAGCTCTTCTTCCAGTTGCTGAATTCTAGCTTCCAGACGTCTTTTTTCTTCCTGGAGGAGTGAGCTATGACAAAAGTAATGTCAAACAAATATTTTGACAGAGCATTTTGACATGAATGAACTCCTAAATCTCATATCCAAAAATGTCATAGTTCTGCTTCACATTTATTTTTTATTTTTCTATAATTACACATTCTGGGCAAATTGTATAAACAATTCCAACCCATTATATATCAAAACAATGTCACCAATGCTCCCAATAATTCGTTTTTTACTACATTTTTGAATATTTATTCTTTATTTCACTACTGATAACATGTGTTAAATGTGAAATATTTAATTTGTTGAACACCTCTACTTGCTTCACATTTAATTTCATAATATAAAATTAATGACAACATCTGATCATAAAAATTACCTTTTGTCACCACTCTCTAAATGTACAACTTAACCAATCTCTACTAAAATTTTTCTCTGTGCTGTCCTATGTTGTGTAAGTTAAACGTACCATCTTGAATATGTAGATCAAAACTTATCTTTGACAAGGTATTTTATTAGTTATGCACTCTAATAATTAAAATGAACTTTCCATTAATATTTTGAGCATTACTGTATATCTATCACAATTTAAATGTGTTATATACTCATTTCAGTATCAGAAATAACAATGTTCAATATCTAGGCAAGTTCAGTCTAATAGTAAACAGTTAAAAGCTGAAGAATGTTGGCCAATTTAATGTTTTTTATACAGTTAGAAATATACAAATGTTGGTCTATTCAATCTTATGTCATACAGTTCAATATTGCAGGATATTGGCCAGTTCAAGCTCATGTTATACAGTTAGTTCAAAATTACATAATGTTGGCCTGTTAAACTTTATATCATACAGTTTAAAAATGTAAAACAAGGACCTATTCAAACTTTGTCATACAGTTAAAAACTGTAGAATGTTTGCCTGTTCAATCTCACATTATATACTTTAAAACTGTATAATGTTGGCCTGTACAGTTTCATGCTGTACACTTAAAAGCTGTATAATGTTCGCCTGTCCAATCTCACATTATATACTTTAAAACTGTATAATGTTGGCCTGTACAGTTTCATGCTGTACACTTAAAAGCTATATAATGTTAGTCTGTTCAATCTTATGTCAAACAGTTCAAATCTGTAAAATTTTGAACTATTCAATCTTATAAAGCTGAAAATGCCTCTAGAAACCTTTAGAGATTAATAGGGGCATAATTTCGATCAGAAGAACTAGACAGCTGCTAGGGACAAATGCTTTCACAGGACCCCAGGTGTGCAAAGTTTGGGCAGACAATATTTAACAAAAAGCAAAATAAAAAAAGAAGCATTTCTTTTCCTATATTTTTTCCCTCTTCGCGTTTGCAATTTGTTTTTCCTTCTAACATGCAGGCAGTGGGAGCTCTCAAATAATTTTTGATTAGAGCCCCACAAAATCCAAATAAGGTCCTTGAGGTTAAAGTAATTTTTATGTACTCCATTCACTTCTTTATTTAAGTTTCTTATATGCATAAAATACATATTTCAGGGATGCAAAAGGAAGATTTAATCATTTTATTTTTCTTAAGATATCATAAGTCATTTACTAAATGTCTTTGTCTAGGGCTTAAACAATTTCCAGTTGTACGAAGTAGTTATTATATTATATTTTTGACCCACCAATTAAAATTAAATATCACAGCCTCATCTTTTATTCATTTCATATACATAAATAATTTAGCAAAATCAAACATTCTCAAGTTGGTGTTTAGAATCATGCGAGCTATGTAATTATGCTACAAATATATGTATTAAAGGGAAACTTTGCCATATCTTCATTTATGTGAAAGTATAATGTCCGTTTGATTATAAGTGTTTGTTAAGGAACATATTTAAGTAACAACAACTAGAAAATGAGATAATAAATATGGGACTGTTTACTGTAATTTGTTCCATGGATAACACTAAATCAGGTTGTGCTCTGGCTCGTGATGTACAAATGTTGATAGCCTAATTACCCATTCTTCCACATATGTGTTTATAAGCAAAAAAAGCTGCGTTGTTTACAAACTATCAAGGAAGCAGTTAACAGTTAACTCCTTATGATAGCAGCATAAAGCTACCAAAACATGTAGACTCTTTTAATGTTGGCCATCAGCCAAATAGTCTTTTTTGGAAATTTTAAACACAATTCCTGCTTTTATTTTTTTTAAAATTGCCTTGATAATGAATTTTCTAAAATGGGCAGTTCAGAGCAAAGAAGTGTCATATGATATAAGTAAGTAAAGGTCAAGAATTTATTCAAAAACTTGTTTTTGAAATTAAGTAATTAAAACATAATATTCAAATTTTAATTATAAACTATGTTTTGATGGCATAAAAAAGTTGAATTACATTTTGAATGTAACTACAAAAACATCATAATGTGTGCCCTTTGATGCCCCCACCCACACCACACACATAGGCTTAGTAAAAAAAGTTGATTTAAAACTTAAGTGTAAAAAATTTACCTCCGAGAACTATTGTTGTTAACCTCTTCTTGTAATTCATCTCTCTCAGTCTCAGCAGTGCGTCGTGCTCTCTCAGAGTTTGAAAGGTCTTCCTGAAGCTGGATTGTTTCAGCTTCCATATTCTTTAACTTCTTTTCCATTTCTTTGGCCTGAGCAATCAGATCATCTCGGGACATACGAGCTTCCTCAGCATCACGCTGATAATCCTTTAACTGGTTCTACAAGAAATTAGCTTTCAAATTTATATTAAGCTCCAAATTTCTTCCAATTTGTACAATGTAATGCAATCAAAAATTACATCTATTATTTGGTGATGGTATAATTATTATTGCCTATTGGAAGGTAGTTATTTTATATCAAACCAAAATGGTGTCTTTCTGAGCTTGCCTAAACAGTAAAACATAAAAAATACTGTTTGTAAACATGGTAAAAAAAAACATTTCACCGAGAAGAATTCTACAGACTAACAGACATTCTACCTATATAAATGAAAAAAAATAAATGAAAGAAAATCTTTCACCCTCTACATGTGATTCTTCAGTACCAAGTTTAGCTTTATGCATAACCACTTGCTAGGGAGATTTTATAAATATTAATCAAAGTAATAACATAATAAAACTTTTATGCTTAAAACTAAGACTACAAAAACAAAAGGTATGATATTACTTTCAATATTAGTTACGTTTTTCAATATAAAAGCTACTTTTTGTAATGATCAAAAGCAAAAAAAATACACAGAAAAAGAAGCCAGGTATACTTTTATAAACACTTCATAAAAAACTGCAAAAATGTATAAAAGGGATAATAGTTCAACTTTCTTTTTTGTAGCATCTGTAACATTCTGGTGCAAAATAGTAATAAGTATTCAATGCTTTTACTATTGTTTAGTTAGTCTCTCTTTCCATCTTCTATCACAATTAATAACATATAAACAATGACAGCAAAAAAATACCTGAAGTTTCTTCAGCTGTCTAATGGCATCTTCCTTAAGGCGGTTAGCCATTTCCAGCTGTTGCTCTAGGTCTTTAAAGTCTCCCTCTAACTTCTTTCTGGCATTGATGGCAGCTCCTCTTTGCTTTCTTTCATCTTCAAGCTCTGCTTCTAGGTCTCGCATCTATAACAAATAAATCAAACATTACTAACAAATGACACAGCTAAAAATATATAATGAACTTACCAACACCACATATAATGTCATCATAAATCACAATACAGGGAATCAACTATTAACATAGTGACAAGCACAACTGAATCAGGAATAAATTATGCTGACTATATGAATATGTCACGACTAATATTAAAATCAAATCTAATCTGCTGTTAGATTTGAAAGGTGCAAGTCTAAAACATGATATAATGGAATACAACTATTAATAGTAATATCTCCCATTCTTTGCTTGTTCTTTCTGCTATTACCAAAGTGATTTGAACTAAATGTTTTACTGTAAATGACTACACAACTAAGAGCTGATAACATACTTGTATCATACACTTGCTGAATAAATAATTGGAGCATTTTAAATTAGTATACAGACTTCAAATCTATAGTACAGTGACAAGTTTAAGAATTATTAAAATCAATATAATTACACAGTTACAAGAAAAATAAAGATATATTTACATACTACGATTATTTGAATAGCTACCCAAACACTTCTTTTAAAGGACTTGGAGCAAAAAAACATCATCTAAAAACCAAAAGAAATGGCAGGAGAAGCCCACCAAAAACTCAATCTACAAGCTATGCTGTCCCATTACTAATTATGTGTATTGAAGTTATTATCCATTTCTTTAATACTGAATAAAGTGTTATTAATAATACTATGATTATGTTTCATTACTGCTAAATTAGATAAACTGATTTGATTATTAGTGAAAACAATAATGAATAAAATATTTATTAACAATACAGTCTTAAAAAGTGTATACTGATCATCTACTTAAACTAATAAAAATATCTAATCAATACGAGACTTTATTCCTATTAGAGCTAATCTGAAGACATGAAAATATATTTGTTTACAATAACAAACCTGCTTGATTAATCCTCTTCTTTTCTCTTCAGCTTGTTCCTCCTTGGCTTGAAGGTCTCGTTCAAATTGTGACTTAAGAGCTTGCATATTAACTTCCAACCTCAACTTGGCATCCTCTGTCAGCTGAAGTTCATCCTCAAGTTCCTCTATCTGCGTTTTCTGTTCTGCCAATTGACTCTCCAATACTCGCTTGGCCTTCTCCAGTTCATGCACCTGGAAAGCATTAACAGTTTACAAAATAAATCTAAAGCTTCTGAAAAATCAAATTAAAAACATGCCCTAATGATAAAAAAATATTGTTTGAGAGATAATTTTGCAAAACAAAAGTTCCTACAATCATTAACATTGACACTCTTTCAGATTAAACAAAAAATGCAAAAGTTTGTAATAAACAATGGAAAATTACCTATGGTATCAATGAAAAATAAATATGTCATAAGCTGCAACTGTGAGATACATTAAAGAGGGTCAAGCCTTTACCATAGGATAAGTTTCAAAACTCACATTTTTGTCAGCAGTGCCCTGATTATTCATCAGCTCATCCAATTCTGACTGCAATTGCTTACGAAGTCGTTCTTGTTCTTCCAACAGATCTTGCTTTTCATCCAAGTCACGTGTAAGAGATAAAATCTTTGTCTCCTTCTCTCTGACTTCTCTTTCAGCATTGTCTCTCTCCTGAGATATTCTCTCAGATACAGCTTTTTCTTCAGCTAACATCTGATCGAACTTCCTTTGTTTCTTTTCTAGCTCTGATACTTTGGATCGTTGGCTATCCAGTTCTACATTCAAGTCCTCTACCTACAAAAAAAAATCATATTTGATGATTAAACGAAGATTACCTGTTCTCTAACAAGTTAAGAATCTAAAGAAACGAGAAACTTCATATAACAATTGTGTATTCTTATAATTAACTTAGAATTACAGGCTCGGAGTCTACCAAACATGAAAAAAATTAAGGTTTCATATGTGAAACTCTTGATTGAAAAAAAAAAATTAATAAAACCAGCTTTATAATGTACCAATCAAATAATATTTTACAATTCTTTCATATACTGCACACAACTTTTCATTTTAACTATTTTTTTGGAGAGCTTTTGAAAAAAATCAATAAGCTTACCTCAGACTGAAGTTTTTTCTTAGATTTTTCAAGTTTATCATTTGCAGTCTTTAGTTCCTCAATCTGTCTCTGAAGGGCTTCCATATCTTTATTCATCTTCTTCCTTTGTTCTTCTAGCAAAGTAGAAAGTTCATCTGCCTCATCTGCTTTTTTCTTCAAATCTTGCATCTATCATAATCATACAGTTTTACAAACTTTCTTTCATTTCTGACTGAAAAACTACATTTTTATTATAACCCAGGTATTTTCAAGTGCTTTTATTGAGACTGACTAACAGTGAAAACAATATAAATTGTTTCTTTCTATTGTAAAACATACAGATCAATAATCACTAGAATCTGGTCTTCACCAAGTATGTAAACATTTTAGTATATTTGATTCTAGGATATTAATAAATTGCTGAAAACGTTTATCCCTTATAAAATTGATGCTAAGTATCACTAGATTTACACACACACACACACACACACTATAAAAACAAGAAACCATCAGGAATCTTACAGTCATGATTCTCATTTTTATTATTAAAACTCCAAATCTTTATTAATTATTTTTTCATGAAATATATTAATTTACAAAAATACACACACACACACACACACACAAAACTCCAAATCTTTATTAATTATTTTTTTATGAAATATATTAATTTACAAAAAATACACACACATACAAAAGAATAATATACCTGTTGACTCATTGTAGAAACTTGTTTCTCTAAATTCTTCTTAGCCTCTTCCTCCTCTTCCAGTTGTTCTTGAAGATTGTCTTTGTCACTTTCTAACTGTCTGAGTTTAGAACTGAGGGCCAGTTTCTGCCTGGTCTCTTCTTGTAGTAGATCCTATATAAAAAGAAGTAAACAATTATCCATTTTTAGCATGTAACAAAAGTAAACAATTATTCACTGTTTGGCATTAAAGTTCCAGTGTTTGTATAGCAACAAGTAAACAACTATCCACAATTAGACAGTAATTAAATAAATGTTTGTGTCTAGTTTCTTCTTATAGATGATCATGTATAACACATAAATGACTATCCACTGTTAGGAATTTACAAGTCCACTTTTACCAGGTCTATGTCTGTAGTATACCATGAATAATAACAACTAGCACATGTAATGTTTTACTCATAAAATAACTAAATAACCATCACATAATATTTTTATATCATTTCTACACCATTTTCTTTCACAAAGTAAGTGAAATAGATTAGAAACATGTTTTTTATTCAATTTTGAAGGTAGAGATGCAATTTTGAACTCAGAATATTATTATTTTGACTGGCAATGGAAGGTGTTAAAAACAAATATATCACAGATTTCCTCTTAGATGATATTCCATACAACACAACCTGTAAAGTGAAATCCATTATTAAAAATGTTTACCTGAGCTTCATTTAGCTGACCTTCCAATGTGCTTGTGCTCTTAGCTGCCTGTGTGGCTTTGCTGTCCATGTCTTCAAGCTGGGAATTTACTGCTTCTAGTTCAGCCTAAAAACACAGAGAATACTACCAATTATCTTGGTTATGCACAAGTATATAGGAAAGAATACACTATCTTACCAATCACATGACATCACGGTTCATCTAGTTCACAAGTATATAAATTATTAGATTTGACTAAATACACAACTGTACCAAACAGGATTAAAATTTTGCTTAAATAATGGAATCTTTAAAATCCTGCTTGAATAAAGAGCTACAGAGATTCCCAATCACATGACATCACAGTTCATCTAGTTCAAAAGTATATAAATTATCAGATTTGACTAAATACACAACTGTACTAAACAGGATTAAAATTTTGCTTACATAATGGAATCTTTAAAAACCTGCTTGAATAAAGAGCTACAGAGATTCCCAATCACATGACATCACAGTTCATCTAGTTCAAAAGTATATAAATTATTAGATTTGACTAAATACACAACTGTACTAAACAGGATTAAAATTTTGCTTACATAATGGAATCTTTAAAAACCTGCTTGAATAAAGAGCTACAGAAATTCCCAACATGTGAAACTAAAAAAATCTTTAAAATA